TCGGAACGAAGTTACGGAAAATCAATTAACAAACGGAGACGTAACAATATGTTTTAATGGACTAGTAACAATTCCTCGTGTTCGTGTATATAGGTGCTAAGGTTTGAATTACATGGCAGGTAGCTACAGGAATGTCTCAGAGACTTAATGAGCAGCATGATTGGAAAGATTAAGACCTTTAAGGTCATCAACTTGCTTTACAGATTTCAAATGTTTAAAATAACTTTTTACCTTTGTATCGTCTGTATCTGATTTCATAAACTGAATAACTAGGATAAAGTTATGTTATGTAGTTATTGTAACATATTTGATAATTATAAAGTTGAAAAATTGTTCATTGAGAGCCGGTTAGAATTAAAATTATGCACAAAGCTACACAATGAGCTATCTGTGCTCTGCCTACCACGGGTATCGAAACCCGGTTTCTAGCGTTGTAAGTCCGCAGACATACCGCTGTGCCACTGGGGGGCTACTGAAACGGAAAATTGTTTTATCAGGTCCGATAATGATAAGAATATGTTTGAATGTCGATTCTTACAAATTGATGAGGATTTTTTGAAGACAAAATATTATCATCCTCTCAGATCCAATGATATATTGTAAAAACAAATGACCATTACATTCAAACCTGATGTTGATTCGCTTTGAGTTATTCCTTTACTGGCCCTATACTGGTTTTTATTATTGACATGTGCCAACAACTGCTATTAGAAAAGATCGTCATTCTTATTACAAAGCGCTGTGTGAGTTTTCCGAGCCAATTTCTTCTACGTTTGAGCAGCGTTTCAAGTATCCCAGAGTGGCTCAAATTGATTCAGTCCTGGGATCTAGGCTGGATTTGGAAGATACTGAACGCTATTTGTCTCAGACCACAACTGGATATTGCACACAGCACATCATGATGCATTATCTTGCTTAACGAGGTAAAATTTTCCCCATAAATTTCATTAATGCAAAGAGTGAAGCAATGTCCAGAATGTCACAATTTGGCAATGAACTTGCGGAATCTCTTAACTATAACTGATGGATCATGCTGCACTGTTGGGACGACTCAATCTAATTTATCAAACTGTTCTCCAAGTTACTGTCAAAACAGGCCTTTCCAACCGAAGCAAGCCACGTGGTGATTTAAACACTGTATTCACCCCACTTTCAATTCTCAAGGCATTTTCAGAACTGACACTTTACATTTATGGTTGTGATGAACAGCTTATGAGCCGCAGTTTGGTTGTGAAATTTACCAGAAGCATGGAGATCTCTGTGCAGAATGGTGCATTGACCCACATCTCTGAAGTTTCATTATAGTCCCGAGTGATGAATTTGACACTAGATGTTTATTTTCACAAAGCGAATCAGAACATGCATGGATCAAAGTATCATACAAACCCATTTTCTAGTTTAACACTTCTAGAGATCTTCTATTTCTTAGGCAAACTATCCACAGTGAATTTCAATGTGTGTGAGTGAGCTAAAATGTCTCGATCACTCATACCACTAATACTTCCTCCGGTAACCACTCCCCTCACAATGTCAACGACTTCCTTGTAACAAATTGACTCATTTCACTAATGCTGCTTTCTATAACCACCCCCATCTAAAAGTCAATCAGTTCCTTTTTTGCAACATACTGATTTCTTTGAGCTGGTCAAGGAATCCGCTGGTTTCATTAACCCCATGCAGCAGTTATCATAGGAATCACATGTCTTAAAAATAGAAACTAGAAACCTTAAAAGCTGATCAAACTATCTTATCAACACATGAGTTGAAAATGAAAATACTAAAAATAAAACGTTTGTTTAACAGCCTTCATCATGAAAACCAACATTTCAAGTTTCTAGTAGAGTATGATTATGCAGTTTCTACTTTGTAGTCTCTTCGATAAAGAGAGATCACTAGAACTAGCTCATTTCATCACAATGTATCCAAATGACTCATTGTCTTATTTTACCCGTTTGTTTTCTCGAGAGCAAAGCCACATTTGGCTACTTGCTGTTTCCACCGCGGAGAATCGAACTCTGGAATTTAGCGATTTAATAAGTCTGGTGGCCATTTTGACATGAAACAGACATATCTAAATGCTATGTATTTAGTACTTATTTATAACATTTACACTTCTGACAATCTTTGTTCTTAGGAAGTCCACATAGCAGCTGGATCCCTGACAATAACACGTGACCGGGAAGATGCCATCGACTTTACTTTTCCATTTTATGAAGAACCAACTAAGATACTGCTGCCACAGCCAGAAGAAGAGAGCAAACTGTGGGCAGTGGCTAAGCCGTTTCGATGGCAGGTGAATCAGAAGTCGTAGTAAAGAAATATAGAAATTGAAATATATTTTATTAATATTGTACTTCAGAGCCTGTAGTATCTGACTGTGCTTTTCTCGTGTATCACAAATTATTAATTAATAAGTAGTTTGGTCATAATTAAATGATTCAATATTATAATTGTTTTTTTATTCTTAGTTGGCAAATCTATTTAGAGATCGTAAATTTTAAATGTTATGTTCAAAAGTCAATCTTTATTTTAGTTTTAATACTTTTTGTTTAATTAATGTCCTTTTTATTTTTCAAAAGTAGGTTTGGCTAGCAACAGTGGTAGCATTGTTTTTCATCAGCGCAATTATCCATTTCCTGAATTATCAAGCTGTGAAACTGCCTAGAAAACCAAGAGATGGCAGCACGTACGAATTTCGATGCTGGTACAGACAATTATGGTATCTTTTCGGGGCAATAGTTCAACAAGGTATTCAAATCGGGGTGAAAGAAAGCTCAAAGGCTAATTTTATTTTAAATTTCAGTTTATTTTAGAATCAACTGAACATTATCATGTACATTTTCAAACTTAAGCTATTCTTGATTTTTATGTACTTTATTTTTTAGCTCAAATATGTGTCTTATTCTCAGTTTTTTTTCTACTTTTGAACCAGTGACGTTAGTTTAACACTCTGAGTTGTTTAAATATTTTACACCAAAAATGTTATTTGACACAATATAAAAAATACTAAAATGTAGAATCGATTTCAAATAGTCTAGAAAGAAATACCTTACTTATTATTAAAGCAGAGCAAAAAAAAAAGTAATTTAAGAAGAATATTTTCAGTGAATATTAATCTATTGTACTACTGATTATCACACACACACAGGAGGATATACGCCACCATTATTCAACGGTACAAAACTGGTTATTGCTTGTTGGTGGTTATTTGCCATTGTTTTGTTCCACACTTACAATGGAGCTTTAGTAGCTTTCCTGTCTGTACCGAAACGAATGAAGACAATAGACTCTTTAGCAGAACTGGTTGAACAGAATAACATCCAGTGGACGTTTCTGAAGAACTCGGCACATCAAGACCTCTTCTCTAAGGTAATGAAATTACTAACCAAACGATGCTTTTATTACGGAACAAGTAAATGTAAAATATTTTACCTGCTTAATCTTAGTCCTAAAGTATGGTTCCGTTTTATAGATCGTCCATATGTTCATAGGTTTTATATTTTATGAGCTATGAAACCCGTGCATGTTTCTAATCTTGTAATTCATTCGTTTTTAAGATTGAAAATAACATTTTCTTTTCGGTTAGATGACGAGTTAGACTGTATCTAATTTCTTACTTTTACAGATGTTTATTTGTCATTTTCACTGCTACCATTTATTGTAAAGAAGTTACACTCTAGTGCATTTTATAGAAAATGTTACTTAAAAACGCATACTTGAAGTTCTTGTTATTCTTATAAGCCTAATTTAAATAACGTATGTTAATCTATGTAGACCAACTTTTGGGTATGAGTAAGTCTCTGTATTATTCTTTAATTTATTATACATATTGTAGTTTGAAATATTTGCGTTTGTTTGTTGTTAAACACAAAGCGACACAATGAGCTATTTGTGCTCTTTTCATCGAGTATCGTTAAAACGGTTTATGTAAAAATTTAATATAAATTCTACCAACATTTACACATAATGTCGTTCCCAGTCATCAAACAACGCCGTCTACCGGAAAATAGGTGAAGAATCATACACGCTAGTAACTTCATCGGAGGAGGGACTTGAACTAGTTCTTAATGGTCAATATGCCTTCATCAAAGAGAAATCTTATCTAGACGTAAAAATGTCTGAAGATTACAAAAAAACCAATTCCTGCAGAATGCATCTAGCTAAAGAAGAATTCTTTAAGGTGGGATTTGGAATAGCATTACAGAAAAACTCTCCTTACCTAAGATTCTTCAACATGGAGTAAGTAATACGTTACGCTGCTTCAGTTTTGTTTTCGGAAGACATGTATGTATGAAAGATCTAGATTATATTTAGTTTGCTAATGAGATATATAACTTATAAACTAGTAAGTTTATGGTTGTGTATATGTTCAATTTGTGCTTGAGATGTGTAAGTAATAAACTGGTAAGTAGACTGATATGTGTATATATATACATATATTTTTTGAATTTCGCGCAAAGCTACACGAAGGCTATTTGCGCTAGCCGTCCCTAATTTAGCAGTGTAAGACTAGAGAGAAGGTAGCTAGTCATCACCACCAACCGTCAACTCTTGGGCTACTCTTTTACCAACGAATAGTGGGCTTGACCGAAACATTATAACGCCCCCACGGCTAAAAGGGAGAGCATGTTTTGGAGTGACGGGAATTCGAAACCGCGACCCTCAGATTGCGAGTCGAGCTCCCTAACCACCTGGCCATGCCGGGCCCTTTGGATTTATAATACATATACATCCATTAACTTGCCAGTTTATTACTTACATGTCTGAAGTACAAACTGTACATAGTTTGGATTAACTATATATATATATGTATACATCAGTCTACTTACCAGTTTATTACTTACATGTCTGAAGTACAGAGTGAACATACTTTGGATTAACCATATATATATAAATATATATGTAAACAAACAAACAAACATAAATCCAAAGTATGTACAGTTTGTACTTTAGACATGTAAGTAATAAACAGGTAAGCGAATGGATGTATATGCATATATAGATTCAATATATGTTCAATTTGTGCTTGAAACATGTAAGTAACAAACTGGAACCTGGATTGATGTACATCTTCATAGTTAGTCCAAAGTATGTACAAACTGTACATGATACGTATAAGTTATACACTGGTAAGTGGACGAGGAAGTTTCAGGCTATCTAAGAACAAGATCTCACATTCAATTTGTTTGGAAAAACTTCAAAGGGTCTGATGTATGTATATTTCACAAAATATTCCACTTTTTCAATACGTCAATATATAATGTAAAAAAATTACAACTATAATAATGTTCTACTGAGATTTTCTTTATCATTCAAGGTTTTGTTTTCAGCCATATGACCCGTTACATTTAGGCGATCAATGATTGATAGGTGATTTTTATAAAGTCGAATTGTAAGTTGTCAAAAAATTGATCGAATTGGCACGATGAGAAAGGTAGTGTAAGAACTTTTTTTACCAATATTCGTTTAGCAAATTTCTTTCAAATTATACGACATACAATTTAAGTTATTACAGTTTACATTTATGGTAGACACGCGAAAAAAAAAAAACTCTTTTAACGCAAAGCTGCTTTATTTGCGTTCTGGCCACCCCGACTTTTAACGGTTTTAGCCCTCAAGCTTAAGGCTTAGCCACCGAGTGGCATTAGATTTCTTTGTCGTTCCTTCATTTTGTAGACTATTTCAGTTGTTCGAGGTTCCCGCATTTTTACTGTAAATAATTCGATTTATGTGATTCAGAATAATGAAGATGATACAGACAGGAATAATGGAGAAGTGGAGGCAGCGCTATTGGCCCAAACAAGTTACTTGTGAAGAAGATGGGAACAAACAGAGAATAGCTTTGGATGATCTTCAAGGAATATTCTTTTTCTTTGCAATTGGAGTGGCCACATCCATTATTGTGTTTGTCATCGAGCGCCTGTCTCTTGTTCGTAAACTACAGCAAGTTGAGAACTCTAGACCATTGTCGGAGAGATAGGACGATCAGTAGACGTGTCATGTAATGTACATAAATGTTTTGAAGCAGAGTGTGAAACCAAAACTATAGTTTTTGGATTAGTATTAGAATAAATAAGAGTGTCCTCAGTATGTTCTGACTTATCACAAGGACTTTATGATGCACGAGTATTGATATTTACGTTAAAACTACAAATAAATTTAACCATGCAAACAAGCAGAGGTCTTTCCTCTTTGAGTTATTTCTAGAAGATATCGTTTTTTAACGCCTTTAATTAAGAATGACGTAATTCTACAGGTTTTTATTTTGTCCGTGTGGTGGCACAGCTTCTCTGGATCACAACAAATCACGACCAGCGGAAAACTACCCGTGTAATGCTATGTAAGCTCTCCTTAGCCCTAAGTGCTGGTTTTAACACGAACTTCCGCATTTGCTGTAAAGATAGTAATAAGTATCCCATACTTTTACAGTTATGTTTGTGTGTGTTGTGTGTGTGCATACGTTTGTTTTACGGCAAAACCACACAGTAGGCTATCCGTGCTCTCTCCATCGCGGGGAATCGAAACCTGGATTTTAGCGCTCAATATCCATAAACGTATCATAAAAGTTGTTTTGGTTTTAATAAAAAATTTCCATAATTCAGCTACGCAGATTTCGAAAAAAAAAACATTATTTTTCTATCACGTAAGGATATTTTACAAATCGGGAAGAAAAAAAAACTCTTACTTAAATCAAATTATTATTTCATTTACCACAATGAACATTTTTATTGTTATGTTTGTTAACAAGAATACAAAAAACTGAAGAAAAAAGAATAACATTGATGTCAAACGAATATACATCCTCATTCATCCTGATTTGTGTGTGTATGAAATCTACGTGTTGTGGTCTTTTATTTATTGCGTTATGACATTTTATGAAAAATCTGTACGTGATGAAGAAAAATGGATATCATTTTCAGATTCAGCGTACAGGAATTACTGCAGAACATGTAAAAATTTCAAGACAATAAAACAATCGCAGGCCCGTGTAATCTAAAAAGTTGGAACTGATTCAGATTCAGTGTACAGGAATTACTGCAGAACATGTAAAAATTTCAAGACAATAAAACCATCGCAGGCCTGTATAATCTAAAAAGTTGGAACTGAATCGCCACAAACAAATAATTATTAACATGAAGTAAGATACGGTAATTATGATTCATTGTAAGCCTTTTTTTTTTAGCTAATTTTTAAGAGTGGTGTTGAATCAAACTATCATTTGTTTCACTTTTCAACGTTTTGATATTACAAAAAATCAGTAGACTTATTCTTCTCAGAAACTTTATCACAGATTAATGCTATTTTTGTTAATCAAGTACTGACAGTTTTACAAAGAAGATATAATAATTAGTTGTTTTTGTTTGTTTGTTTTTTGGAAAATGAATTTGATAAGAGAACGAAGTATTTAATCATCAAATATTAATAATTTTACAAAGGTGTAACGGTGTAAAATAGCAGATTATTACCAATCAAAAGTGTTTACAGGCTAGAATGAGTAAACTGCTATACTCCTCGACCGGTGTAAAAATTGAACGTCCGTCAAATGGTAAAATAGCCAGTTTACTTATTCTAACCGGAAGGTAACAATTTATAAAATAATAGTTTTATTATATATTTCGAGGTGTAATTTTTCATCTTTTTTACAATTCCACTCAAAAACTCTTTAAATGGTTTATCCACAAAATATAACTTTATTCATTGATTGTTTCTGCCTTAGCAGAATACTTTATATGATTTATATTTATATAAACATGATGTTTGAAATCCATTTTAGTTTGTGAATTTCCGCTTGCAAACTGACAAACCACATGAAAAGATTGCATGTGCTTCACTTTCGTGAAATGTTTATTTTATCTATTATAAATCTTGTACATAGTGAATACATAGATGTATGGGAATACAATATATTTTGTGTATAGCCATCCTGGTTTGTTTGATTTTACTTAGTTAATTGTTTTAATATTGATGTTATAGACGCGGGCAGCGCAAAGCTTTATTTAGATATAACAGTTTATTATCTGACAGTTTGACGAAGTTTGATTTTTACAGCGGTCGAGGAGTATAGGAACAAAACCACATTAGCTTATCTGCTGTGTCCACCGCGTGGAATCGAACGCCGGATTTTAGCGTTATAATCCTGCTATCCTACCGGGGGAACAGTTATTTCTACAAATAAGTGTTTTAAAGGTAATGGTTACTCCCCTACGAAAACAAAATTGACTGCAAATAAACACTAGAAATATATGCATAAATATTCATTTTACGTGGATTACACATTAATTCAAATTAAATAATTTGTGGAATGACAACGAAAAACTCTTGAAATACATCGTAAAACAATTATTTTATTTGGATGACCATTAATTTAAAAGTATTTTACTGTAGAATGGCTGTAAAAAAACACTAGAAAAACATGCCTGAAAATATATTTTATGTGGATTACACATTAATCTAAAAGTATTTATTTGTGGAGTGACAGTGAAAAACATTTGAAGTACATGATAAAACAACTATGTTATGTGGAATAACATAATAATATAATGGTATTTCCTTGTAGAATAACAGTAAAAAACACTCAAAATACAGACTAAATCAGTTATTTTTAGGGTAACCTCCAGTAAAATTTAATGGTGAATTGCTATGAAGTTAATAGAAGACACTATGAATTAGTTTAACCTTTTCACCGTGTAATTATATTTCATGGTCTCTCCCGAATCAGTGTCATTTTTTCCATCAAAAAACATCATAAGTAAGCAGTATGTTTCATTGTGTTATGCATTATGATATATAAGACACACTTACATTTCATATCTTGACATTATGGCGTCAATAACATACCTAAGTTATGGTAAAAACACAGAGAAAATATGAAAATCAGTTGACATCTCTGTACGTGGGTGCCTTGCGTGGTCTGCAGGCTGGGGTCCCAGCTGAGAGATTATTTTTACTTGTTCGATGACGAGGAACCCACTTTGAGA